CCCACCCATCTTCAAGCTGCCAAGGTTGAGAAACACTGGACTAAACTGACCTTGAGGTAGATTGACCAGAGGCACAGTTTAAATACTTCTCGCTCTGCATCTGGATAATGTTGTGTAACAGGCATACGTAATTATCAGCGTTTTTCTCCTGTATTTCTCTATGTGAAGAATGATATATTTTTCTCCTTCAAAGAAGTGTTGCAAGCAGCTAGTAAAGGAGGCTCTCAAGCACAGATACGTATAGAGGAACAGCAGCCCTGTTGCTAAAACAGTAGTAAATAAGTTGTAGCTAAAGGTGTTTGGGTTAGGAAGTTATCTAGTTCTTCTATCTGGATTAATGTCACACGGTTGGAAGGGGAGATCTTTCCTATTTTTACAGAGGCACTGATGCAGTTTAATTCGCTGTGTGCAGTACCCAGGCAGATGGCCTGGAACAAACACAGAACTGGAGCCTTTCTGAGAATTTCCTCTTTCTATATCTTTTAAAAGCTTTTTCACCCAGGTGGCTGTAGAAGTAATTCTGGTTGGATTAAGGTTATTGAATCCAACTCCCTGATCAGTTCAGGAATCTAAGTTAAATGGCCATGGAAGGTGGCTATATACAACCTCTGCTTGAATATGCAGTATCTGGAAGGGGAGCAGGCTATATTCCTAGGGAATAGTTCCATTGTCAACTGTACATTTGAAAATGAAAATGGTACTGTAGTACAAATCCTCTCGTACCTTTGTTGCTAGAGGTAAATTGTTAGATCACATGAAACACATGTATCAGTGCAAATTATGAACTGATTACCATTTTTTTTCATTTTGACTATAATTCTCAGCCATGTCCGGGGAAGTAAATCCCAGTTTAAATAAGGAGGATTGAATTTTGGTGAAATATATGTAGGGTTAGGATTTAATACTGCTTAATATGATCCAGAGTATTACCTAGTAAGTTCCATGGAGCTGTAATGCACCAAGCCTCTGAAATGTATGATTTTATTCTAACATATGTTCTAGTTTTCTCAGTTTTTTTTTTAAGGAAAATTGCTTGTTGCATAATCTGATACTTAAAGGAAGCATGATTTGCAGTTTGGACTTTTCTGCTTAATCTTGCTGTACTTTGTTCAGGTGTGATTGCAATTAGGATCTAGAATGCCACCTTGTTTATAGAAGTAGTTTAAGAGCCAGATGTTGTAGACTTCCTGTCTCATTTTTACACTTCGTCATTCAGAAGTCAACTTCTGTTTAGATTTCTGAGCAGAATAAGAAATAAACAGCTTGTGATGAAAGATTGTTCACATGTTAGATTTATGGTGTGCCCATTAATATTGAATTGCTGTTCAGTCTGTTGCTTTATGTTTCTGAAATTGCACAGAAGATGTGTAAAATCAATTGGAACACCCTTATCTCTTGATCTTTTCAGGCAGGTTAGCTCTTTGAATGGATATAAATAACTTGAATTAACAGAATAAAAAAATCCTTATTCTGTAGTTGAGGAAAGCTAGTCATTACACTAATTCCAAACACAAGTCATAGTAATTGGAGGAAAAACAATAGAATATTGAAATCTAATACATTTATTATGATGTTGGGTATCTTGCTCTACAGTTTGCTTCATCAGATTTTTCTCACAGAAGTTAGCAGTGGTGTTTAATGACAGTATAACTTTTTAATGGCATAATTCTTTCCTTCTCATTCTGTGTGAATCAGATGCCAATGGCTTTATGGCTGTAATGGTTGAAATAAACTCTGGCTTAGTGCATTGCACAAATCAGCCTTTTTCTCTGGAATTCAACTTGTAAAATCTTAGGCCTTTTAAAGGGCTTTTTAAATAGATGTTTCTATCAGGGACAAAAAAAAACCTTTCGTCTTTCCAGCTCAATCCAAATACAAGTTTGTTCCAGCGGAAATATGTGGGTGAAGTAAAGAAGTGTGAAGAAATGGAAAGAATATTGGGTAAGTTTGGAGAATGCTGAGGGACTTGCTTCTATAAAATCATACACTAGATATAACTGGGAGGCAGCCCTGATCCTCCCAGGTAAAGTTTTCCCGTTGTGAAATGCATCACAGATTTGTTATTTCTAACAGGAAAAGGAATGTATTCTTACCAATTTAAAACTGAGCTTGAAAGACTATTACAGTCCAAATGATTTATTGCAGTGTTCTTGCGTTGGATTTTCTCTTACATTTCAGATGATTCAAACTCTGGTTGTCGGGAAGTTTTTAGGAGCACAGCACCTATTTGACCCCATGCCTTAGTTGTCACTTCATTTTTGGGTTCGATTTAAGATGCAGAGAGATGGCATCTAAATTCCAGGCTTCCTCAATTCCCAGGATGCAGTAGAAAAAACTGTTAAGGGTTGATTTTAGAGTGCCCACAGATGTGCTCAGCATCCTTTGCAGTGCACAAGATTCCCAGAGGGAACGTGCACCAGACCCCAGAGCAAGGTCTTTGAAAGCCAGTTGCTTTAGAGCACTGAAAATGTTTTCCATTCTTCCAGGGTACCTAGTACAAGAAATTAAAAAGGCAGACATCCCTCTTCCGGAAGGAAATGTCACCCCTTCTGCTCCTCCACTTAAGCAGATGTTGGAAATCCAGGTAACGTGTAGAAATGGCGATCTTCTGATGTTCCGGGATGGCAGAAGATCTACTTTCTTGCATTCTTTAGGCCAACTGTAAGATTTTTACAGCTCTGAATTGCCATCCTTCCTTTCTTCAGGAAAGTCGGATTTATAGTTATTTTTGCTGTAAGTTTAATACGGAGACTTGCTTAGGCCTGTCTTAAGAACTTTACAGCAGTGTTGGGATCTCATATCTGAGCAGAGAGCCAGTGAATAAAAAAGATAGTTTCAGTCTTGGTCCTGAGTGTGGAATCTCAGCTACCATTACCAAATAATTATTTAACCTTCTCTTCATTTTTGTGCAATAGCCTGTCAGCCGGCTTTGGCATTTTCTGAGCGTCAGAAAGCATTTTCTGCATGAGAACTATTACCCCTTTCGGTGGGTGGTCGTGGCTGGCAATGAAGTAGGGTAGGAGGTCTTGCTCCTGTCTGAGCCACTGACGCAATCTTGAGCTGCATTTGATGTCTGTTGTCATACTCCTGGCAATTGCCTTGGCTTCGGCTTGGCAAAATGACGCTGCTGTTAGAAATCACAGCAACGAGAATGTGCTGCTTTTCTCTGCTGCAGGAGCAGCTGCAGAAGCTGGAGGTGGAGTTGCGAGAAGTGACCAAAAACAAGGAGAAGCTGAGAAAAAACCTTTTGGAGCTGATAGAATATACCCAGATGCTGCAAGTCACACAGTCCTTTGTCCAAAGAGCTACTGAGGTACTTATTTTATTTATTTCAGAAAGGTATAAGGCTGCTGGGCAATGTACAATTAAAAAGAGACACGCAGTACAATTAAATTCCAAACGCCAAAAGAAAACCCATCACTGAAGATAGTCAGACACAAAAGACCTGCCACCCAGTCTGACTCAAGGCCTGGGGAAAGAACCAGATTTTCAGGGCTCTTTTGAACATGATCGGGGTGGGGGCCAGATGTATCTCAGATGGGATGGTGGTGCTGGGAGGCCCCTGGCTAGAAGCTGCCAGCCACAGCTTGTGGACCTTCTACTGCTGAAGAGCAGCAGGATTCTAGCCAAAGATTTTGGATTAGATGGTTTGTGATCTGCCTTTGTCCGGCCAACGGTCGCTCAGTGCCTCCCACTGTTCGATATGTCTTGTTTCCAGTCTCTTTTGCTATTTTACTTCCTTTTTGTTTGATGTAAGATTTTTTGGGGTCTTTGTTTTAGCTGGAGTCCTGCATACAGACTAATTACGAAGAATTTCCATCTTTCGAAAACGATCCTTTGGTTGAGTACAATTGCTTGCACAGGCTTGGGGCAAAACTTGGGTAAGTAACCAAATTGGCTGGTGCAAAGCAATGCCAGGCATCGTGACTCTTGCTTTATTAGTCAAGACGCCAGATGTGGCAGTCAGGGAGCGCCTTACATTTAGAAAAGAAGGGCTTGCCACGCTTGGTTCAGCAGAGAGCGAGTGAGGTGAAATCTGATTTTGAAAGTGTCAAAAAGCACTGGTGTATATAGAGCTTCCTTGCACAAAGTTAGCTGCAGTTCTAACCATTATGCTACCTCCACGCATAGAACCCTAGCAAATATTGAGAGTGATTAATTGCATATAAGTTTGGATTGTTTTAATTGGTCCGGTGGTGTAGTATTTAAGCATATTGGTGACTCTGCAAATAATCTGAACGCCTAGGTTCTCATGGTTCCCTGTACTGGTGAGATTATTTTTATGGTGCATTTTTCTTTTAATATAGATTTATCTCTGGCTTAGTTCACCGAGCAAAAATTGAAGCGTTTGAAAAAATGCTGTGGCGAGTGTGCAAAGGAAATACAATTGTTTCTTACTCAGAACTGGAAGAATGCTTGGAAGATCCTGATTCAGTGAGTAATATAGCTGGAGAAATAAGATAAAATTATTCTGAAGGGTGGTGGATCAGCCCCCTCTGAATTTAACCAGCATAACCACTCAACTTGGCTGGGTCCAAGTTGATCAGATTCAGATCCCAGTGAATCAGTGTGAAAAGTTAGTTGTGGCTGTTACTGCCATTGAAATCAGCTAACTATGAATTGTTTTTCTTATGGTTAAGAAAAACCATGATTTCAAGGTGGCATAATTTGAAATGGATTAGTTTAAATTTGCATTTAACCATTCCTGTTATTTTTCCAGGGAGAACTTACCAAGTGGTTTGTGTTCTTAATATCATATTGGGGTGAACAAATAGGCCAAAAAGTAAAGAAGATATGTGACTGGTAAGGATGAACAAAGCTTCTATATCATGCTTTTTCTCTTACTTCATGTATTTTTAAGATCCTGCTCTGAAAAACAAAGGTGGGGGTGGGGAGGAGGTTGTTCAAACTGCATATCCAAAAATCCTTTGAGGAACTGGTGGGATTCTGAAGGTGAAGCATGTAGACTAAACACGATTCACCCAAACATTTCAGGCAATATAGTAAAAATGGTGGTTGTAGTCTGAAGATGTGGGTTCGTATGTCTGCAAGAATGCCTTTGGTTGGCTATTCTAAAGAAGCTCTTTGCGTCACAGCTACCGCTGCCACGTCTACCCGTATCCCAGCACTCCAGAGGAACGGCAAGCAGTGATGGAGGGGCTCCAGGTTCGCATCCAGGATCTTCATATTGTGAGTAGAAAGTTCCTGTCATGCTCTGGCTTTACGTTTTCAGTGGCATGTTGTTTCATGGATGAACGTGGATGTGCAGCGTACCGTTTTGAATGCATTAAAAATTGGGCAAAGCTTTCATCCACAGGGCCTGTGAGAAACGTTTGGAAAGGCTATGCTTGCATTCTTGAAGTGGGTTTGTTCTCTCTTTGGGATTCTTTAACGCACTGGAGATACTCAGGCATAGCATCATATTAAGGACTCTTATTTTTGCCTGCATAACGTTAAAGTATGAAGTCTTTGTTTCTTGCAACGGGAAAACGTTTTTCTTTGGGCCACTCAACGGCAGATGGAATTGTTTGGGCAACTGCCAGTTGAACATCCGGAAGCTAAGCAAATCCCCCAGAATATAGCATATAAAAGAGAAATTATCTTAGGACTGCTTTGTCTGCAAATGCCCCCTTTCTGATACAGTTGCCTTTGCTTACTTGTACTGAATCGTTATGCTTTTTAAAAAATCCCCAAAGGTGTTGCACAAAACCGAAGATTATTTACGGCAAGTCCTGTGCAAAGCTTCTGAATCGATCTACACCTGGGATGTCCAAGTGAAGAAGATGAAAGCAATTTATCATGTGCTGAATCTCTGCAGCTTTGATGTCACCAACAAATGCCTCATTGCGGAGGTCTGGTGCCCCCTGCTGGACCTGCCCAACATGCGTCGCGCACTTGAGGAAGGATCCGTAAGTTGAATCAATTCATCCGACAGCTCTTTTGAGGCAGGTTCGCTCATCACACAAAGCAATTTGATTTAGTCATGGCTTGTTTAACATAGAAACCTGCTTCACACATTGTGGTGCTGTAGAGAGTGGTTTCCAAACCACAAAAGCCAGACTTAGGAGAACATTCAGCAAGGCTTTGTTTTAACTGTGGTTTTTGAAAAAGCCATCTTTGGTTTCAACGTAACGCTAGGCCTGAATGCTGCTTTGCTGAACTTGGAATAAGGAGATTCACAGTTCTGGCCCCTTCTTTCCGAGCGTCTGTACATGATTCATGCACGGATAAGGGCGTGGAAAGGGGTAGGCTCAGTGTACGTAGCAATGCGGGTTTTGTTTACTTTCTGGAATCAGAGAGAAAGTGGAGCTTCTGTCCCTTCGTTCATGAACACCATACCCACAAAAGAAACGCCTCCAACTTTGATCCGCACCAACAAATTAACCTCCGGATTCCAGAACATCGTTGATGCGTATGGGATCGGCAGCTACCGGGAAGTCAATCCAGGTGAGTTGCTTTGAAAAATAGTTCCTGGGTTGTAAACGTGTAATTTTAAACCAAGATCTTTAATGCGGGTTTGATCGACAAACTATGGTGGGCTGGTTTGTTCATAAAGCTAAACTCATTAGACTGGATTCGGACATTGTGTGAAGCTGAAAACAGACCGTGTGATTCAGCGTTATTTACGAACCAGGCTATTGAGAAGGATGATTGCGCTGTCTTTACAAGGCTTCTTAAAAGATCTTTATGAAGGAGGAAGAAAAAGATCTATTTATTTAACATGCAGTAGCATTAATTGCCTACAGAATGCTATAGGAAATGTAGAATAGCTTCTCATTAGTGCTTTAATCTTAAAAGTCAGTGAGGAGGGGGGGAGATGAAGGCAGAGGTAGATGAGAAGAATTCTTAAAACGTAGGAGAGCTGAAAGGTTTTGTAATAAATGTGGGTTTTGAGAAGAAGTTTGTGGGAGCAGAGAAGTGCTTTGGCTGGGGCTTTCCTCCCCTTTTCCTGGTTGTTGGTGACAAAAAAAAAAAAAAGTGGGACAGCCAAGATCCCGTCCAGTGAAGCTTCTGTTTCTAAGCTGCTCTGAGAGTTAACCAGAAGAGTAGTCAGAAACACTTGGGAAACACTCATTTTGGCCTGCGTTCACCTGCGTATGGCCTTGCAAATTTGAGTGGCTTTTGTGTTCCTAAAACAGTCGTGTTGTTTCACAGCTCTGTTCACCATCATCACCTTCCCCTTTCTGTTTGCTGTGATGTTTGGAGACTGCGGACATGGCTTCCTGATGTTCCTATTCGCTTTCTTCCTGGTTTTGTATGAAAAACACCCCAAACTGCTGAGATCACAAGATGAGGTGTGGAAGACTTCAGTATTTCTTTCTGTTTCATTTTTTTCTGGGAATAGGCCCCATGCAGCTCTTCCGTTTCCATGCCTGGAAAATTCCTTCTCTGTGTAAAGGATGAGCTGTTTCCTTTTTGTGCCGAGTCCCTTTCCACACAACCCAGGAGGCTCTGAACTCTTATCTGAAAAGAAAAGAAATCCTTGTTTTTCACTGTTGTATCTGTAAGGAAGAATCTTGTCTTTGAGGCTCCCCTGGCAGTGGCTAAGCCTCTCCTTCTTCTGTTCGCAGATCATGAAGATGTTTTTTCAAGGGCGCTACATCATCATGTTGATGGGAGTGTTCTCCATCTATACTGGCCTGATCTACAATGACTGTTTTTCCAAATCTTTGACAATATTCAACTCAGGATGGCATGTTTCACAAATGCCTGGTATGGATTGGAGGTAAGTTGTGCCTGTGCAACCTGTGTGGTTTTCACCTGTGTTCTTCTCCTTTAATTTAAATATTTAGTTCCCTCTAGTGTCCAATTTTTAAAATCTTAGTAAGTTTTTTTTAAAAATTTCAAAACAAAAGCATTTCCCCACGGGAAGGATTCTTTATAATTAATTCCAAAATCTTATTTCAAATTTATCTGGACCCTTAGTCAGTTCGTAGCTGTCTAAAATCAAAGTTTTAATCAACCTTTTGCTGTTTATTTTTTTTTAAAAAATTTAAGTTCTTAAGCTTGTAGTTAAATTTTTCTTTCATTGAGGAACAAAGGCAGACTCACTGGTGTTTTCAGACTTGTCACTCCAAGGGTTTCTAATAGCTGAAAAGTAGTTAATAAGCAATTTCCGAATGTTGCTGTTTATTGTTAAGTATGCGAACTTAGTGTCCTTTTAAAGGCGTTGACTGTGGCTTGAGCAAGATGGCTATTCCCTCATCTCCCAGTGCTCAAAATCCACCGGAGACCGTTGTCTTGTGATCTCCTCACAAGGAGCAACTGTCTAGAGCACCTGTGGATGATCTCTAGTCCTCTCCTTTATCCGGAGAGGTTTGAAGAGCACGTCTACTCGCTGGCTCTCTGTTCTTTGCCACAGTTGTCGGCTCCACGGTCTTCAGTCCTCCGGAAGTCAGTTGGCCTGTGATCTTTTAAAATGGCTTTAAATCCCTTTGCGTAAGGAGACTAACCGCAGACAATCTTTTCAGGCCATAAAAATGCCTCTTCTCAACCTCTAATTCTGTTGTGCATGTTTTCTTTCTTTTTTGAAATTGTTCTAGCCAGGCGGCCTTGACGAATTCATATGTGACTCTGGATCCAAATGTGACTGGTGTCTTCAGCGGCCCGTATCCTTTCGGCATCGATCCGGTGAGTGGTTCCCCTTAGAGCTGCTGCTGTCTGTAAAGGAGGCTTGGCAGACTTCATGATGCTTCAACGCAGCTCTGGAGAATTACAGCTCTCTGCCCGTAGATCTTTCAGCTGCAAGGCTAAACCATCAGTCAGGCTGCACTTAATTTTTGTTGGGGTGGTTCCATGCAGGAGGACCGCAGGGCGTCTCCTGGCATCTCCAAGTCAACTTGGGGGAGTTTACCAGCTTTGAACCCTGGAGAGTTATTGTCTGCCACCATACAGAACTGCCTAGAATAATCGTTCGACTCATTCTTAACCCATTTTTTTCTTTGCTTTGCCCACCAGAGATGATAAAACATCAGGCTGTACATCAGCAAAGTTTTCCCTGAGTGTAGGCTCTTGGACCTGGTCCTGTCCCACAAGCAGGATCACTTTGCTTATAATGCAGCCCTCTGCCTCGTGAAGTCTTTCAGTGGGGGGTTTTCAGGATAGACCCCTCTTACAAGGTCTCTGATTTGTCCTTCTCCCACTTTAGAGAGTTGTCCTCGATGTGTTGCATGTTTCAATATATGAGATAACCCTAAAAGATTTGTGGGAGATGTACAGAGAATGTCTTGCCTGGCTTTCACAACCAAACGTTTAATTTTTAAACTCTGGTCGGTAAATTGGAAGTTGTGTTCTTTGTATTCTGGGCTGAATCTTTTCTGAAGGATATCTGCCCTCCCTTCTCTCTCCCTCTAGATTTGGAACCTAGCAAGCAATCGTCTCACTTTCCTCAATTCCTTCAAAATGAAGATGTCTATAATTATTGGAGTTGTCCACATGGTGTTTGGAATTGCCTTAGGGGGGTTTAACCACGTGTGAGTATGGACGGTAGGAGCAGTAATGCTGGAGCTTGTGCTCTGAGCACCTTTGCTGTTCCTTTGAGGTGCCTCGTCCTTTCTTTCTTCCGGATTAAGCGCTACCGGTTTAAGGCCCTTGGTGCCATTCAAAATTCTTGCGCTGTCATTTCCATTACCTCCAGTTAGCACAGCCACTGGTCATGCTGGGACCATTGGGAGTCACAGAACAGTGCCTCTGAGAGATGACAGCCTCAGCATTGTTCAAATACACAGGCAATTTATTTTTCTGTGAACGTCCTTTGCAAAATGGATTGGGCGGATTATTGAAATGAAAAATAAAGCCATGCTTCCTTTCTTCTTCTTCCAGGCATTTCAGGAAGACGTACAATATTTATTTAGTGTTCATTCCTCAACTTCTGTTCATTCTATCAATTTTTGGATATCTGGTGTTTATGATCATCTTTAAATGGCTGGCTTTCAGTGCTGAAAACTCCAGTTCCGCTCCCAGTATCCTGCTTCAGTTTATTAACATGTTTTTGTTCCATGGTAACACGTCAAACGTTCTTTTCTCAGGACAGGTTGGTAATCCTTATAACTGAAAAGTCCACAAACAAAGTCTGAATTCTCTCTATTTTTAAATATTTTATCTTCCGTTGAAATAAATAGATCTCAAAATGGAGTAATAATGAGAAATTAAAACAGTTCACAGTATGAGTCCAATAACGATTAAATGTTGGAGACTTAAGGAAGTCAGTCTGAATTCCGTGCATGCTTAGGAAATAATTGTAGCATTGGTATTATGAGAAGTCGCCTGAATCTAGGGAATTGCTAAAAGATTAGGCATAATGAGCATAATTGTTTAAAAAATATAAAATTTCAGGTTTCCCTTGGCTGACCTTAACTTTTAGAAACTCAGCACAGTTCAGCAGAAAATGTATTGTACAGGAGGGTTCAGTTGATTGCTTTCTGACACAAATGCGTTACAACATCTTACAAGACAAGCAGAAAGAATTAAGTGCTTTTGTTAAATTACTGCAGGAAACATTGCAGCCTTGTCCAGACTGCTAAAATATAAACCGTGTGCTAAAAAAACTAGCCAGGTTGGTATTTAGCCCATAAGGATTTATGTAGAATCTTAATTCTAGGAAGAACTTTCACAGGGCCCTTAACGTTTTTTCTGGTTTAGTTTCTAATTGAAAGATAACAATTTGAAAATCAGTTGTGTAATTTTGCATCCTCTCTTTTAAAATAGATGATTATTCAAAAATTTCTGCTAGTCCTGGCTCTGCTGTCCGTTCCTGTGATGCTCTTTGGAAAACCACTTTATTTGTACTGGTTGCACAAAGGCAGCCCAAGCTTTGGGTCCTACAGAGTAAGTCTCAGGAGGAGCTCTGGGATGAATCCTGTCTTTCCTTGACAAAATCTCTCTGCCAGGGCTCCCTAAATCAGTGTAGAGAACATCCAACATGTAAGGGGCAAAAGGAGGTTATATTTTAAAGGAAAGATGGTTCGTAATGCCAGATCTGTATTGTATTGTAAAGGGACCCCATGTGGATTATTCCACTAACGTAATTATATATTGGATAATTATCATGTATCCATTTTGTCACAGTAGTGGGAGCAGGTGCTGGGAACCTGAGGAAGACGTCGTCTCTGGCTTGGCTTCCCCAGGATGGGAAAACAGGCATTCCTCTCATTTACTGATTCATCCTGTCACTCCAGTACTTACACACAAAAGCCCTCACCTGCCTTTAGAGGACTGTCATTTTTCCACAAAGGGGAGAGGGTGGCTTTTTAAAGCGCAGCTAGTTTTTCCACTTCACGCCCTGTGGCTGTAGTCCTAGAGCAAGCTTAGTCAGGTCAGATGAAAAATAAGCCTTGGGCCTTCAGTTAACATGCTCAGCTTCAGCAGCATTAGCCTTCATGGGTTGTTTTTATGATTTAGCGTGTTAGGGGAACTCCGCATGCATAGTTTGTGATATAACATGTTAGTTTGTTAGCATAATGTGTGAACTCAGAAAATGGGTTGGGCTGGTCATCAATTTAAGCAGTCCCCTAACTGAGCAAGTGCAGAAAGTGTGCCTTGCGTAGCTTAACGCCTGGCTGCAACTCCCTGAAGCACATTGCGTGTTTTGTCCCTTAACCTCGTTTTTCAATTTGGCCCTCCTTCTTGAGATGTTGAGCTGTCCAGCCTTGCTTTGGGGGGGGTGTGCGTGTGTGTGTTTAATAGTTGCTTGCTGAAAGATGTTTGAGAAACCTGCCCATTAAGGAACTTGAGAGATACCCCTAAAATCGCACAACCCTTTCCCACCTCCAGAAAGGTTATCGCTTGGTACGGAAAGAAAGCGAAGAAGAGATTGCTCTGTTGAGAACTTGTGACCCTGAATTGGGAGCCAGCCCTTTGGATAACAGGCATAAAAGCGAAGAGAAGGAAATGGTGAGCCTAGGGGGTCTTTTCCATATTATTTTGTTTTTATCTTTTAATTTAAATTGGTTGTTTTGATGGCTTTTAATGAATTCTGATTTGTTTTATTACGTATGCCAGCCCAGAGTCACTATGTGAGATGGACGTCTATACAAATGTGATCAAATACATAAATTAACTATGGAACGAAACAAAAATGTTATATATTCAATTTGTACAGCTGCTTACTCGCTAAGCGATTCATCTTCTACCAGAAGTCACAGATTGAGGGTCATAGGTTTTAATTTGCACACGGGCTGCCATCCTACTAAAACACCATCTCTTTTAGTTTAACTTCGCAGATGTGTTCATGGATCAGGCCATCCACACCATTGAGTATTGTTTGGGATGCATCTCCAATACAGCTTCATACCTGAGGCTCTGGGCGCTCAGCTTAGCCCACGCTCGTAAGTATCTTGTGTGATTCGAACAGATTTTCTGTTAGTGCCACCTGGGCCTTTAAAATGTGACACATACACACACCTTTATTTAAGAAATATCAAACACATTTTACTCTGAAAACAATAAGCGTTTGCTGGAATGAGGTTTCCCCCTCATGAAGACGCTTTCTCACGTCCTTTCGCACCATGACAGGAAATAGATCCCCCGTGCTGTAGACTCGCATATTAGTTAAATGATGGCTTGGGAATAAGGCAGAACCTGAAACCATATTTAGTTCATTCTGTAGCTTAAATTACAACCCCCAAGTTTTGATGCCACGGGGAGCTGTATTTTGTTTAAAATTGGAAATAGAGAACGAAGAATGGAAAAGAGAAATGCCCAGTGTTCTTCACAACTGGTTATTGTTTCTTGTTGCATCTGAACTTGGCCTGGTTTTCAGTCACTTATGCCAAGAGGGTTAAGTCTTTTATTGTATCACACACCTCCAGTAAAGCAGGTGGGGTTTTGAGTTACACATGTATATCTCTGTATGTCTCTTTAGAGTTATCGGAAGTTCTCTGGGCGATGATCATGAAGTTGGGACTTCACATGAATGCGGCCTATGGAATCTTGCTGCTGGTCCCACTTTCAGCCTTATTCATGGTTCTCACAGTATTCATCCTTCTGGTCATGGAAGGTCTCTCAGCTTTTCTACATGCCATACGGCTTCATTGGTACGTGGTTCCTTTTAACCCTCCTAGCTGACTTTCTAGCCAGAAGTTCTGGATATCGTTAGGTTTCAGAAATGGAAGCTTTGTCAGGAAAAAAAAAGATAGAAACCCACCTTTTCAGGACACTGAAGATGTTCAGCTTGAAAGTAATGTTTGATGCTCAAGTGGTGCACGACGAACATGTTCATCCTATTTTTTTTTTTCTTATTACAGGGTAGAATTTCAGAACAAGTTTTATACAGGCGATGGATACAAGTTCACACCTTTCTCCTTTCAAGACATTTCTTTGCATTTTGATAGATACGTTGCATAGTCTGGCTGCTGTCGGCAGTAAATTGGTCTGGAGTTGTTTGAAAATAATCATGTATGTTGACGTCATTCTTGTTCAGCTCCCTGTAGCAAAGAACCTCACTGATTTGCCTTATAACGCAGCCAAATAATTTTATAATGTCTCTATAGTCTCTTACTTGGACTTGGCAAATGTGGGACCCCCTGTAAGCAGACGTAAAATGGGTGTTTTCCTCCTTTCATGAACGCATTTAGGTTAATTTTTAAACTGACCCAAAGTATTTGATTGCTGCTTCTGAAAATGCTGTAGTGTTTTTAAGAACTATTTATTTTCTTTAACAAATCTTTCAGGTGTGTTTCTATCATTCTTTTGGAGGGGGGTTAATCAGCCATTAATTGCCCCGTTAATTCCTCTGATCCTCGCCAGTAATATTTCTGGAACTTTATAACAGCCACTGAGAATGAAACGGCGCGTCCTTCTGTATGTATAGGGAACCGCTACGATTTTTCTCTTGCATCATCGCAAATGTGGGCTTAAATGTACATTTAGGTCTTCCCCTTTGCACAAAGGGTGCGACTTCTTGCGCGTTCTGCGCAGAAGAGAGATTGAAAAGCTGTCTCAGGTTCACTGAGGGGCACGGAAGCATCGGACTCTCTTCTTTCCCTTTCACAAGATGCATTATGGCCACTGTGGGAGTTCCCTCGCCCAGCCCGTCTTCCGGAATCACGGCCTGAAATTATCCTGCAGGCTCTTGTACGCGGCATCCTGACGGAGCTTCTGCTGTGGGCGAAGCCCCGGGGCTACAGACGACGCTCCCAGGGAAACCAAGAATTTTTTGGCACGGCCGCCTGGCAGCCTACGGCCTCTGCCCGGTGCCCAAAGGCAAACGGCCTGCACGAATCCAGGCTGCTTTAGCTGTTACGCACTCCTTCTCCACGGCGCTTCCAAAAAATCGGATTTCTGTTTAGCCTGACCCCGAAGCCAGTTTGGTGTTAAAATGCAGTTGTCCTTGCCCTGTGAAGATGGCGTCTTTTAAAGGGTGGGCGGGTTGGTTTTTTAAAACAAAAAATGCATTCAAGGGGAGGTATTTTACGATAAGGACTTTTATAAGTGCCAATGGAGTCTAATCTCGTTTCTCGTCTTCAATAAACGCTGTTTTGTGCATTTTGAGAACGTGGTCTCCGATTTACTTGGAGCTTGGAAGGAGCGCGCTGCCCTCGGCTTGCGGTGGCAAAATCCCCCCGGGGCGGAGGGCGCTCGGCCGGGGCGCCCCCCCGTCGCGCCCGGGGCCTCCGGGGCGGTCAGCGCGGGCCCCCGATGGGAC